CCTGATGCCATCTTAGGAAAGTGGCTTAGTACAATGTGTTCAGTTGAATGACTGCGATGCCAGCTAAAGCATATCGTTATCTTAAATATCCATTTTTCAGAGGAAAGATGTCTCCTTCTTCAGATCCAGCGTTGCTAGGACTTGGTGAAACTTTCAACCAAAACGACGAAACCCCTGCCGAAGATATTTCCCCTGAAGAGGACATTGCTCCCTATCACGTTTTGGCTCGAGGTAAAAAGCCTCTGGCAGCGTACCAGAGAGCTTTAGAGGAGGGCGAAATAATTGACAGACGTGTCAAAGTCATGCTGATAGGCCAGGACCGTACTGGAAAAACTAATGTTGGACATGCCTTAAAAGGCGAGAAATTTGACCCTGAAGAATCAAGTACAGATGGTGTACAGATGCACGAGGTCCTGAAAGATGTTGGTGTTCAGCCATGGAAGAGTTCCATTTTGACAAAACAAACGACGACATACCATCACAAATGTGCCGAGTTAATATCTAGAAATTTGTTGACTGGGATAAATCAAGAATTGATGACTACACCAAACGAGACCTCAACTCTCGAACAAGGTTAATAACCTGGTAAATGGTAAATTTTTCAAAAATTTCAAATAGTTCTCGCCCTATTGGGTCGTGCAGTTTTGTTTTCTTTGAAAAATTTACGCATGCTAATTAACACCAAATTGCACCAGAAATTATGTAGTTACCTATACTTATACGCATATTACACGTACGGTCACGCACGTATCATAGTAAATCTGCGTAATGCATTTTTATCCAAAAGTAATTCTATTTTATTTCGTTTTCTGTCATTGCCCAATGAATGAAATCCTTAGAAATTTACATTGTATTTCGGAACAAATGTTCCTCTTCTGATAACCTAGGTTCTCCGCCAGAAACTGTGGTAAACACCATTTATTTAGGAATGTTTCGGTAGTGTCGATGGTTACTTCGTCTCTGGAAGTCTGGATGATAAAACAAATTGTTTTGAAAATGTATCTGTGTATGACGATTGACATGTTCTGTTCAATTTCTTTTAGATCTTCCTGTGCACCCCCAACTTAACTCAAGTCCAGAAATGGAGGTTTGACATAGGCAATAGTGAATATGTGTTTCCAAAAAATTTTTTTCCAAGAGATTATAATCTCGTGATATTTGTGTTTACATTGCTTAAAGTTTAGGGGATAGGCAGAATTTTCGAAAGTTTCTTGCGCTTCTGAAGATGGCTTCGTAAACACGGAAAAAGACCTTCAAACAGCAAAGACCCCGGCTAATTGCCTCTCTGCGAAGCAAGAACTCTGCATAGTTATCAAAAAGCAATACGAAAGTATTTTGATTTACCTCATTATTGCGCTCGTGAAAAAACCTTCCTGGTCAGTACGTTCTCTTTCCTTTATGATTGCCCTTCACTACACGAGGGCCGCGCGTTTTTATCATAAGTCATACACGAATAAACTTGTGCGAAAACTTAATGTTTTCGTATCTTTCTTTCTCTCCCTTACAGGAATTGAAACACGAGACGCCCTCTGTCCCAAAAGAGAAGTTTGATGAAGTAAAGCAAATAGGGCCTTCCCCCAACCACACCCCAAGAGAATTCGAGAGGAAGGCCTCTTGGGAAAATATTGTTAGCATTGTGGACGGAAAACTCCTAGGAAAAGATTCTGATGGCGAAGAAGGAATTTGGCCAATTATTTGGGATTTCGCTGGTCAGGCTGTTTACCGTGCCATCCATCCTATCTTTATGTCATCTGAGGCAATTTATCTCTTGGTGGTTGATCTTTCGAAAAATCTTTTCGCTACAGCCCAGTGTCGTGTAAAAGAAAATGGTCGAGAAGAAGTTACCATTCCTGCCCCCGATTGTAATGATACAAACTTTGATCATATTATGAGATGGTTAGACTTGGTACACTCCCTGAGACGCTCAAGACAATTGCCTCCAGTGATTCTTGTTGGAACACACGTAGACCTAGTAGTTAACCCTGAACAGAAACTTTACGATTTGAAAAGTACCCTCTGCCATAACTCAAAAGTTCTCAGTGATCACATTGCAATAGCCTTGAGTGTAGATAACACCAAAGCTGGCACAACTTCCCCTCAAGGGGAAGATACAGGAATTACCAAATTGCGCGAGAAAGTTATAAAGACGGCTGACAAATTACAGCAGACAAAAAGGAAAGTTCCCCTGAAATGGCTCCAGGTTGAAGACAGAGTGTATAATATGGCAAAGAAAGGCACAATGTACACAAAACGGGAACAGTTAAGGCTGAAAATAGTTGACGAAATCGGCCCGTTGGAAAAGGAAGATGACTACGAACACCTCTTGAACTTCCTTCATGATCGCGGCACTATTGTGTACCATGTCCAGGCCGAGGATCCCAATGGGTTGATCGTGCTGGATCCACGATGGTTAATTGAGGTGCTCTGTAAAATAATATCTGTTAAAACCCACGAAGATGAAGAACTGTCCCTTTTTTCGCTCTGCCAAGATCTAAAAGGTAAAGGTATTCTTCATGGAGAGCTTCTCGATCATGCGTTAAGCGCCCAGAAACTCTCTCACATCAGAGAATCCTTGTTATTTACAATGGAAAAGTTTAATCTCCTTTGTAGATTCAACGACAAGGATGGCAAGCCTGCCTTCTTGGTGCCATGCATGCTGACAATAACGCCAGAAGAAGATCTGATTTGTACAGAAGATGAAGCATACGCTCCTGCGTACATCACATTTAACACTGATTATGTTCCCGCTGGGCTCTTCTGTAGAATTCTTGTTCTCCTTGGTAAGTGGGCTGCATCAAAAACCAGTTGTGACCAGCAACAGTTCTTTTCCAATGCTGCCCGATTTATTATTGGAGATTTGACCTGCCTAGGACTCGTCTGCCACAAAAGTGTCATAAAGGTCCACATTTGGTCAATGGACTCTTCCAACCCGATAAAGATGAATACGACACTCTGCGAGGAAGCCTTCAGGTAAACATGAAATAGAACTCCGAGCTAAACACAGCCGATTCTTTTACTTTGCGATCGAAGGGGATCTATAGGAGTCGGGCGTGGAAGATCTTTGCCTTAGTTAATTCTGTGCAAAAGAAAATTTACCATCAACAACCTGGAAAGTCTAAATTTTTGTTCATTTCGTCTCTAACCTAGGCTACATGTTTACTGCTTTTTGTTTTCGTCGGCGACAACTTGTTACGTAAACAGAAAGCTGTGTTCACTCGAAGAGTTTATAACTAGCCCAAATGACAGGGTAGGCCCTTCTAACTTTCGATAACTTAAGAAAGGCAGAATTCTCCATTTTTGGGACTGCCACAGACGTCTATTCCATACAAACTTTTATAAAACCGGTAATTTGTGTCTTATAGTATTCTCTTCTTGAAACATATTCTAATTTAAACGATAAATTGAGGGACTAATTAAATTATGTATTTTCATTTGTATTCATACATGCACGTATATATTCGATATTCGAGTTGATGAAGTGCTATCTTGTCCAGGGTAATTACAAACATGTCATTTATATCAGGCGGCTTCCGTTTACAGATCTCTTAAAAGGACTCTGACGTTTCTGAAAAAGGAGTGTTACTGGATGCGTGCTGTTTCCTGGAAGTTCTCTGGTAAATGCAACCTGTGTCTGGGGAAAGTAGATCCCAAGACTAAAAATTGCTCTCGGCATGACAAAAAAGGATGTGACAGTGATGACTGTGCCCACTATGTTGCCATAAATTCTCGACCATTCTGCTGTGAAAATGCTAAAGTTGTTGATCAGCGCCTTCAGCGGACTTGGATACAGGTCAGTGCCAAAATACCCCTTCTTACGGTTCCATTTCAGAACTGTTAAGCCAACCTGTAGAGCGTACGGTTATGTAACAAACAAATACCTTTACTTTATCTTTACCTAGTTGAATTTTTCTTTAACTTTAAGGCGATATTTCAATAACTTAATTCATACTATGACCAACAAGTTGGTGCTAAAATTATCCCTTTTACCGTCGAGAATAACTTCCAGCCATTTTCAAAAGAGCAAAAAATGGTTCTGCATATTAAATAAACGTAATTATTTTAAACCAGAATGGATCGAGTGAAAATTCGTGTGGCTAACAATCAGCTATCAAAGCTTGAAATTACGCTCAGAAAGCGAGGCCTACAGATATTACCGGCACCAGTCGGTAGCACACCAGACTACAAGGGTTAGAGGCCTCTGTAAGCAAGTCAAAAGCAAAATCCAAATATTTTATGAAACCATGGCACGAAAGCTACAAATATGATTTTTTTCGACGAAGCACTTTGGTCAGATATTATACTGATAAGTAGGAAAGCAAATTAATTCGTTCAGTTTACAGTGAAGACCGTTCAATGAAGCGTTTTAACAGATAATGTGAAACGCCATATCGATTCACATAAATGCTCTCTAAAATTCATATTCTAAACTTATTAATGCTACTATAGCACAGAATGGTGATGGTTATGAAATTTTCTGTCTCAGGCATTGCCATCCAAGGAAGCGAACAGCGTATCCACCACCCACATTAACATGGGTAAGTCAGTTTATACTCTGAATCACAAATAGTTCAAAAAATCTTAGTGCTAGTACTTACACATTTTTAGAACACAACTTTAAATTGTGCTTATCAACCATGCCATACGCCTTCCTTAGCCGATGCTTTTATAGGACTCTAAACATCTGGGTAGATGACGAAAGCAAGTCATTAGTAAATTCTTATTTGGAAATACAGTTCTGTTCACTTACACTAAAAGCGAAACTTCTCCACTTTTAGATGTTTGAAGATAAATCATTATCCTACTAAGACTATTGAAAAAGTTGGAAACATGCAATTGATCTGAAAGGTCGCACCCTGAGGTTTAAATTTTTTTGCACGATAAAAGTGAAAGTGCTCGACCAAATAGCCTCAAACTGCTGATAACAACGCGGAAGGTTTTAGTACTTTGCTTCAAAGAACTGATAGCAGTGAATCGGAAGAGGGGAAAATTTAATTCGAGTATCTTCTTGAAGCCTCATTTACGAGGGAACCAGAACCGCTCAGTGAGTAATGAACATAGCTTCATGATTTTGGTGATTTGAGGTTCGTGGCGATTCCATTTTTGCCAAATTTACCGTTTATAGCACTTGCTGTTGAGTATGACGAGGTTCTAGTGAGAGTTTCAATTAAAGCAGAGGAGGTTTTAACAAGGAAAAAATTTATATTGATTAAAATGTACAGCATAAAGGAGATTAATATTTCTACAGGGCTCGGTTGTTCTCGGCTTTCCATTTCGCTGCTTTTCAACCATCACAATGTAGAAAATTGAGAATTTGTTAAAGTTAGAATGATTTCTTCACAAGGTAAATAAACTTTTTATTTGTTAAATCTCTGTAACTAACGTCTATTTCAGTTAAAAAGTCCCAAAAAGGCAAAGATCTTTTGGCCAGCCCTAGGCCTTTAATCTTTCCATACGTGTTGGTTCATTAGCACTATTACAGAGGGAGACAGAGTGTCTGACTATAACGCTCGTGTTTTCCTCGTACAAATTGTAGTACTCTTCAGCATAAAATTCTAACTGTTGTCGTCATTTTGCGTTCGGCTGATTTTCTTCAGTTTCTCCATAGTTCCTGCTCGGATCAGCTTGACATCATTTCATTTATTAAGTCAGTTATTGTCGTTCAACATTTGTTCATTTCCTTTGGGCGCTTTTCTTTCGGCAATTTGATCAGATCACAAAAAGAGATTAATATTGTAGCCATAGGGCCCCTTCTTCCTACATCTAATATCCCGCGTGGCTTTTCACGGTATAAAACCCAGATTTGATCTATTGCTTCATTAGGAAAGAGCCCGCCCATACTGTATAAGTGTTATCAGATGAGCATGGCCACATCCCACGATCTTACCAGGATTTAATTTACAATTGCAATTAAACTTTTCATGGCTCACCTCCGGAAACCGATTTTTAGTGCGTACCTTGATTACTTTTTGCAGCTTGGTGCACCTTTTAGACGTTGGTTTTCTTTCATACTCATGTTATTTAGCTCGTTTTGCTTTGATTGCACTTTCAGAATTCAGAAAAATTTCTAAAAGGCAAAAAGAGATAATAAATGGTCATTAGAGACTGTTGGATTTTAATGCCAATTCATAACACAGTGACAACAGCAAAAATCCTACCACATAAGAAATTAGTTGAGGATTGTTTTTTTTTCCACGAACACTTTAGACAAATGTAGAATCATCAGTTGGATCCGGTTTTAACATATGCATATTAAGTGACACTTTGGGGGGTATTCTGATACTCAAATGGTCTACTTACATTGATAAATCTGGCTGGCGGCATTTCAGGCTAAAATGGTTTGAGCTCGACGTGGTAAATTATATGAAGACTCTTCTAAGAGCCTGAGATTGCTAATATTTTTTCTTTACAACACCTCGACTAATAATTTAATAATAATGTTTGAATTTTTTTGAAAACCTCCCAAAACAGTAGGAAATGTTTTGAACATTTTTCTGTAATGAGATGTATATAATCCCGTAAAGTAAGGTTATGTACTACGATAAAAAGCTAAAAATCGAGGGCTGAAAAAATATTTGGATTCGTCAATAAAATTATTTGTATTGTTAAATGGATATTGAAGTAACGGTATTTCATATAATTTTTAACTCTAAACTTCGCACTCAAAATCTCCAAAGTCGCAGTTAGACAGAATCGTTCTCATTACGAGTACGTCTGATTTATGAACAAGACAAATATTTAGTCAAAATATCTTGGATTGGTTTCGAATCCGAAGAATTTTGTTTTTTTGGAAACCTATTCTAAATGGATGTACAATATACTTCAGGTGAAGCTCTCGACAGCAAGAGGTCCAGGAGCATCAACTCGCACAGCTTTCCTTCGTCTAGCCACTGCAGAGGATCTGATTGTGCGTTAAACGTCACTCTCCTGGCTGTTGAGTGGGGTTCATCTAAAGGAGGATTTTCAACCATAAACAGAAATCTAGCCATCAATTTTGCAAAACACAAACGATTAAATGTCACTCTCTTCGTGCCAAAAGGTTCTTGTAGTGATGAAGAGAAGAAAGCTGCTAGACGTCACAACGTTGCTGTTAGAGAGGCAAGTTCACTCGACGGTTATGAGGATGGTGATTGGTTGACAAATCCAGCTGATGATTTTGCCATTGATTTCGTCTTTGGTCACGGGATTAATCTCGGTAAACAAGCTAAACTTATAAAAAGGACGCATGAATGCAAATGGGTTCAAGTAGTGCACACTGCACCTGAAGATCTTGGAATGCAGAGAAAAGGCACTGATGCTATTTCAAAAGGAATAAAGGACAACGAAATAGTAGTTAATTTATGTAGATCAGCGGACGTCGTCGTAACCGTTGGGCCTAAGTTGAAAGCACGCTATGACTCCAGTTTATGCGTTTATAAGAACGATCACGATATCATTCAGCTGACTCCAGGCATATTTAGTGAATTCTCGGATGTAAAGCGAGTCTCACATAAACGGAGTGAATTCAGTGTGTTGATCTATGGCCTTATTGATCCTGAGGACTTCTCCCTCAAGGGTTATGATCTTGCCGCAAAGGCAATGGCTGAACTGAAGAATGACAATTACCGGCTGTTAGTAGTGGGTGCACCCGAAGAAAAACTGGAACAAATCGCCGACACTTTCGAAGACTGTGGAATCTCAAGAGCTAAATTGACTGTCAGAAGCATTGTGAAAGACAGGGAAAGATTGGTCGCGTTATTTTGCCAGGCTGATCTTCTCCTCATGCCCTCAAGGACCGAGGCTTTTGGCTTAACTGCCCTAGAAGCCCTGTCTGCCGGTCTTCCTGTTCTCGTGAGTGAAAACTCGGGGTTTGGACAGGTATTAAGCACACTAACATCGGGCGACCAGTTTGTTGTAAAATCCAATGACCCATGCGAGTGGGCAAGACAAATTGCAAATGTACGGCGGAAAGACATAAAGATGAGACTTGACGAGGTCAGGGCTTTGCAAAAATATTATGACGCAAGTTACAGCTGGGAGAGAGAGTGTAGCAAACTCGTCGCAAAGATGTGGAACATCTTCCGTGGTAAGAGCATTGAATGGCCAAAATAATACCTAAATAATTGATAGTGACTGATGTTTAGAAGATTAAATGAATAGTTTATGAAATAGGCCGTTCACAAGAGTTTCTTCTATCTTTTCTGCGACACGACAGAAAATAATAGCAACCTCAAGAAGTAATCTAAGAAGCAGGTCGAGTATCATGGCAGTGAGAAGGGTGGTCACTTAACCACATTTTATATTTCGCCTTTTACTCCTACTGTAATGATCTGATAGAGGGTAATGTCTTCAATTGTCAAACATTATTTGTTTGTCGCAAAAAGTCTCGTAGTTTTTGTAATTACAGATTCAGTTATCAAAGGCATTCGTAACAATGAACACCTGTTTCGACTTAAATTACTTCCAAGCGGGGTCAATGAAATAACCACTTTCAGAATTTGATTGGGCAACTCGTCAAGTGGAGATAGTTCTCTAACGAAAGTTGCGGCTATCATGCCTGTGGCTGGTCTTCATCCCGACCAAGAATAATTAGTTAACCGATCAATGTTGGTCCGCTGAATTACGAGTTTTCTTTAAGTGAATAAAACACACTGAGTTAAAAGCAAACGGGCAAAAAGTCTTACTTTATTTGCTTGTTTCAGATCCAGTCAGCAACACTTTGAAAGATGATACAGGCGAGACCATCGAAAACGAGCTTGACTCCCAAATGCTACTGCTGCAAACGATTGCAGGAAGCAAAGGCTATGAAATTTCCGGTAACGAAGGTTCGGGAAATTGCATGTTTCATGCATTGTCTGAACAACTGTCTCGTGTAAAACGAATCACAATGTCAAATTACGAATAACCAAACAACTAAAAGCAAAACGTTTAAACAAACAAGCAAGCAAAGAGATTCTGTTTTGTAGAGGGTAATGTCTTCAATTGTCAAACATCATTTGTCAGTCGCAAAAAGTCTCGTAGTTATTGTAATTACAGATTCAGTTATCAAAGGCATTCGTAACAATGAACACCTGTTTCGACTTAAATTACTTCCAAGCGGGGTCAATGAAATAACCACTTTCAGAATTTGATTGGGCAACTCGTCAAGTGGAAATAGTTCTCTAACGAAAGTTGCGGCTATCATGCCTGTGGCTGGTCTTCATCCTGACCAAGAATAATTAGTTAACCGATCAATTTTGGTCCGCTGAATCACGAGTTTTCTTTAAGTGAATAAAACACTGAGTTAAAAGCAAACGGGCAAAAAGTCTTACTTTATTTGCTTGTTTCAGATCCAGTCAGCAACACTTTGAAAGATGATACAGGCGAGACCATCGAAAACGAGCTTGACTCCCAAATGCTACTGCTGCAAACGATTGCAGGAAGCAAAGGCTATGAAATTTCCGGTAACGAAGGTTCGGGAAATTGCATGTTTCATGCATTGTCTGAACAACTGTCTCGTGTAAAACGAATCACAATGTCAAATTACGAATAACCAAACAACTTAAAGCAAAACGTTTAAACAAACAAGCAAGCAAAGAGATTCTGTTTTGTAGAGGGTAATGTCTTCAATTGTCAAACATCATTTGTCAGTCGCAAAAAGTCTCGTAGTTTTTGTAATTACAGATTCACTTATCAAAGGCATTCGTAACAATGAACACCTGTCTCTATTTAAATTACTTCCAAGCAGGGTCAATGAAATAACCCCTTTCAGAGTTTGATTGGGCAACACGTCAGGTGGAAATAGTTCTCTGACGAAAGTTGCTGCCATCATGCCTGTGGCCGTTCTCCATCCTGACCAAGAATAATCAGTAAACCGACCGATGTTGGTCCAATGAATTACAGGTTTTCTTTAAGTGAATCAAACAACCAAAGTGAAAGGCAAACGAGCAAAAAGTCTAATTTACTTTATTTTCTTGTTTTAGATCCAGTCAGCAACACTTTGAAAGATGATGCAGGCAAAACCATTGAAAACGAGCTTGACTCCCAAATGCTACTTCTGCAAAAGATTGCAAGAAGCAGAGGCTATGAAATTTCCGATAATGAGGGTTCCGGAAATTGCATGTTTCATGCATTGTCTGAACAACTGTCTCGTATAAAACGAATCACAATGTCAAGTTACGAATTAAGACAAGCCATTGTCCAGTACCTCAGGAAGAACCCAAGACAGGTATACTAGTGGAGTGTTTTGAAACCAAGGCTGCTAATTGTTCGCCATTAGTTTAATTTCGTGACGGACCCTTATTTTACCGTGTGGTTGAAGAGATCGATTATCTCTATTAATGAATATATATGTGTGTGTATTTAACAAATATATTCTACGTTGCCGTGCGTCTATACCGTAATGTGTGGTGTCGAAATGTGTGGTGAGAACATTAAAGTGGCCCATGAGGCGCCGTTGAATGTGGCGCTTACGTTAAGAGCTACTTCTAGTTAACCCACCTGCTTTGAAAATGACCAACATAATCTACTTTTTTCATTATTCTTTAATTACCATTGTTTTGAAAATAGAAATTTGAAATTTGATACTCCTTTCAGAGTCGAATTGACACATGAACCATAAGTTTGCATCCATTTCATGTCCTTCCTGTGCTGTTGGCTATATCATCTGAGGTTGTTAATAAACTCTTTATTTTTTGCCTTGCAGCCGGATGGAACATGCAGGTCCAACTTCGTAGAAGGATGGAAATCTTGGGATGATTATCTGCAGCACATGAAACAAGACGGTTCTTGGGGTGATCACTTAACTTTGCTTGCTACAGCAAACCTGTTCAAAACTTGTATTCGGGTGGTAAGCAGTCTGTCACATCACGATGACGTCTTCATTACGTCGAACTACTGTACTGATGACAGGAATCCTCTCGTGTTGGGACACGTCCCCGAGTTGCACTATGTGTCCCTGGTCAGAAGGGACGCCAACCCATCTGAGTAGAAAGAAATCTGTGAAGGTAGACTGACTCTTCGTCATGTAATTTAATGAGCTGGGTCAAAGAAAGAGGCAAGCTGTTTAAAATTTCAGCCCTATTGTTGGCTCAAACTTTGTCTGATCGCATTCACCCTTGAAAAAGAGAATGAGGGTTAACCTTGTTTTTATTGTTTCTGTTTTTGTTCATGTTTTGTACTCGTTGTTCTGTTGTTGTTGAAGTTGTTGCTTTTTACATTAACTTTTAATAACATTTTTTTCTTTTCAGCGAGACTCCTCTTTAATTGTCATAGAATTGTATAGATGCAAAGAACTCTCACAGTTTAAATGGCTGCCTTCGTGGGGTACTCAATAAAACGGCCAAGACGAGGAGGCTGTAGCTCACGATTACTCAAAATTATCTTGAAAATATTTACTATTTTTATAGACAGTTTGCATTGGAGGCAGGTATCACCTAGATCAAATACGACAGTTAGAACCGCAAAAGTACGGCCATAAAGTCAACCACCAACTACCTGGGTACGAACTTCAGCTTCACCATTTTGTTGTACATAATTTCCACTGTCGTGAAGTGTTTCTATGCTCAAAATTGACTTCTTTGTTGTATCGCATGTTTGATTACTTATCAAGCGTTTTGATATTTCGCTATCACTTGAGTAGATGCGAACAATGTAGCAGGAAGCGTTCTAGCATGGAATAATCCAAACTAATACCTCGTGCGTAAAGTGATGTCAAATCTAAAGCCTAGGTGAATTGAAACGTCACCAGACAAGCCGCTTTAAAATTTTTCAGAAATAAAAATGGCGTGCTGTTAATGCTTATCAATGACAAGTGTGACAAGCGTATGATTTTAGGCTACCTACAGTGGCTTATCACCCTTTAACTTATATGAATAACCAAGACAGAATTTCTCCTTACAATATCAAGGAAACAATGTAATTAATGTAATTTTTGAGGTCGGTAAAAGAAAAGCAAAATACTTTTTTATCTTGTCTTGAGAATGGGACAGAGAAAAAAAAATCCTGAGTCCTCGTGAAAAAACAATGTCTTCTTAGTCCCACGCTCGCGACAAGACGAAAAACATATTTTACTATCATAAAAATTGTACGGCAGACTGTAATTGGGAGCCGAAGGCTCAAAGGAGAAAAAAAATAGTAAGCTAACCCAGAGCACATCCAGAGAACAGACATTGATCATAAAATATTTTCCCTACTGGTATTGAACTTTTATTCACAGCTTTAATTAACAAATAGAGAAGCCTTAACTATGCTCTGTTCTAATGTAAAGCACTCAGGAAGCGGCTAGAGCACGAAAGAAGTGTAGGGAGAAACAAGAGACGTATTCGAGTGTTTCTCTCTACTTCTTGAGTGCTTTAGCCGCTTCCTAACTTAATTTAACTGAGTTAATTTCCCCCGTTTTGTACGTTCCCGCGAAGTCCAGTTTAAAGGCGCGAAAACTTATCGTCACAAAAGATCACAGATGACGTCAAATTGTGGTAAGAACAAAAAAGTGGCACTGAACAGACGCACGGCAACTTGGAATCTATTTGTTTTATGTAATATAGAATTAAAATGTACGGGAAAAAAGTTTTAATGATGACGTCATCTATACGTCTGTCCTCCAATAGATCATAAGTGAGAACCAATTAGAATGCGTGCACAACTGAGCTTATTATGTAAACTCCCATAAAAGTACGCTACAATAAGCCAATCAGAATCCCTGTTAGAATGGCTCAAATAATCTGATCAATCTGTACAAGACTAAAGCTGTCAAAAATGTCAAACCGTCAAAGTTCAAAAGCCATCAAAGTTCACATTCTGCAAGAGGTTGAAAACTTGAATATTTCGGCAGGCCGAATTTAACACTTGTGCCTGAAGTTTTTTAGTCTCTAATACAGAATCTAAAAGTGAAATGTTCAGTGAAACTCAGCAGAATTGTGGCTCATAAAAACACGCAAGTTTTTCACATGACAAGTAGAAAATAAACAGTTCAAGGCGAGTGTTTTATGAGTGAACGACAGTCGAATTTACCGGAACATAAAGATCGCTCGGGATGACAAGGCCGTGACACTCGGCTGCAGTGACTGATGTGGCCTTCCACTGAACGCATCGGAAAGGATATCAGAGCAAGCTCTTATTTTTTCACTCGAAGGGCGGCCGATGTAGTTCCTGAGGCTTGTTTCACTGCGATGACCGAAGATCGCCATGATGAGCTAGCCGCGATGGACTTCAGCGTGATCGCAGTCGCCCTGACACCGGCATGATTAGTATGAATTTTAACAGTTATGCCAGTTTGGTTATATTTTTCATCATTCCTGTTTTGTTCTGTTTTGTTTTTGATCGCGAAACTTTACTTACTATACGAGTGTTAGCTGTGTTTGATTTTCGTTACCGTACATAAGCTTGTCATCTAACTAAGCGTGAAAACCTCTAAAACTCGGACTGTCCATTTCGTTTACTCCTTGAGGATTTTCGTCTCTTCCCACGTTAGAATAACTTAAATTACGACTCCTGGCCTTTTTAAAAACCTTTGCTTGGTTCTTCTGTTGCTACTTGCCGGCTCGCTTGTTCCGAAATTTTACTCTCAATTTACGAAATAAAAGCTAGAAAGAAGTCTCGGAAAAGGTCGGACATAGTACAATTGGCCCTACACGCGCAGGGTCAAAGAGGCTATTCATATAAGACTTCACTCTAACAACATCAACAGGGAGAGTGGAATAGAAATTCCAGAAGCATGGATGCCCACGATCAAGAAAGACAACAACAGGAGAGCCGTGCGACAGCGGACCGCCAAGGGAGCAAATCACTGAGTGAACAGCAAGGATCGAAATGCACTAATCAGAGCTGTTGAAAAACAACTAATCACAGCAGAGCACCATGCTTTATAAGATCACGCATGACCAGTCGACCTATCGCCTGAAGAAGACTAGCAGTATGCAGTCGGAACGTCGCGATCTACATCACACGTAACTACATCGTGAGACAAACGAAGAACTTAGATTTTTACTGTACATATTCTCTGTACTGTTTTCTATAAATATCCTGATGTACTGACAAGGAGAATTTGTTCTACAATCAAGAGTTTGATTAGTTGGTGATCATTTCCTCTATTCTTGTGTCCTAAATGTGTAATTCAGTGGGAATATTGTAGGGAGAAATTAGATGCAAGTACCTCATTGAGGACACAAATTAAGAGTGAAGTTTATGCAGCCCCCCTCTCCCTCCCCCACCAAAGCAAAAAAAAACTATTGTTGCCACAAGCCATAAATTTGAGATACGTTGAATTCGCTTTTATAGACAACCACTGGATTTTAAAAATTAGCAAGCGGATTTCTCACATAGCAGATAAGTGATTGCAAAATGTACTGAGCTATCCAACGGACAGAGATTTATCCAGTGGATAGCGTTATCCAAGCCTTAAACAATCAGGGCCTGCAAACTCTTCAGAGCATGAAGAAGACCATATGTTTATAATTTAGCAATTAAATCTTACTGATGCATTGAATACCATAAAAATATAACAGGTCCATCAGTCAGTGTTTCAGTGATAGTACTGGGCAGTGTTACTTACATGAAGAATTAAACTCTAAAGTGAAATCTTCCTTCCTGTGATCATAAAAAATGTGTTACAAAGAGGAAAAATTGTATGGTTCCCCAAATACACTCCAGGATAAATACCATGGGAATAAATGTTAATATGCAGTATATCATTCTTGGAACTTGGGCAGATTTCCACATAAAAAATGCACTTCCTGGATAAAATCTTGACTTAAGCTAAAACAAAGAGAAAAGAAATTGTTCATTACAATGTAGCTCTGCCAGCTAGACTGATCATGAGGTGAGCAAAGAGGAAAAGGGAGCTACAAGTGCCAAGTGAGGGAGTGTAGCAGAGTCTGAGAAAGAGAACCAAGTTATTAGTTACCAATATTAGGTTAACCCCCTAACTCTCTAAAGTGATTAATAAGTAACTTCTCCCTACAATATTCATGCACTATCCAGCAAACAGGTAATGTGAATACTCAAATGTAAAAACTGTATGGCAGACATCAATTGGGAGCCAAAGGA